GGGGGGGGAATGGCCAGCAAGCCTTAAAGTCTCCAAAAAGGATTCGTGGGGACGCCCTTAACTATGTAAGTAAACAATAACTTCAGCGCCGAATTGAATTTTTGAAATATCTCAGGAACCACGCCAGTTAGCAACTTCTAGTCAACGGCAGTTTCATTTTAACTCCCTGCGCTATCGTTTGATACCGGTTTCGACCTTGGTCGACCGGTATGGCGATGTTGCGCGCGTCAAAGGGCGTTGGGCCGGTCCCGCCAGGGGCTCCGGGAGGCCCATTGAAAAACCTGCCATCGAACAGAGAACGCGTACTGAACGTCAACCACACTGCGTACGACCTGCTGAAAGAGCTCAGCAGTGGCCAGAAGGGCGCACGTCCAGCGCCCCCCAAGGTCGTTAGCTTCCTCAAACAGGTAGAGGAACTGACGAAGGACCTCTTGTCAACGCCCCTGACCGACTGGCAGGACGAACTCAGCGCCCTCCGCAAGGAGATGCAGGCCATTAAGGCTGCAGTCGAACCGCCAGCGAGACAGACGATCAAATCTTTCGCCGAAGCAGCGGCCAGGGCGCTAGCGCCCGCACACTGCCTTTCCTATGGCTCATCCAGCTCAGGCGTGCGACCAGCGGAGGTTGCACGTGACCGCGAGGTCGTGGTCTGCCTAGGTGACCGCTCGCAGATAGGCACCTTCCGCCGCCTCACGCCCGCTGAGCTCACCAAGCGTGCGAATCAGGCTAGGGCTAAAGCGGCCATCTCGACGGCCACCGATGCGTTGGCCACCGTCATGATCGTTGCCTCGAAACAGCTCAAATCTGGTGACCTCCGCTTCACTCTCCGCAACGCTAAGGAAGCGGAAACCATGCGGGTGCACAGAGAGAAATGGGCGAAGGGCCTTTGCCGCATAGCGTTCGTACACATGCCAACGTGGGGCGTGGTGGTACACGACGTCAATATAAGATCGCTGGGGATCAACAAGCCATCCGTTGATGAGCTAAAAGGAGTGTAAGAGCATATCATCAAGGAGCTATTAGCAGCGAATGTGGGAAACTGGGGAGAAGCGGAGATCACTAAGATAAGCTGGCTGTTACGCGAAGCCAACTGGTCACTGTGAGTAAGTGCAAAAAGGGCAATAGTTACCTAAGTCGTCGTTGCAATTGGGTACAATAACGATATGTGCTGTCACGGCTGATTCCGGCCCTCTCGGCACAACTTCGAATTCCAAGAGTATCTCTCAATCGTACCGTTGCCTCG